TTATTAGAACAAAATTTCTTTTCTCACTATTCAAATTATTATTCCAATCCGTCATATTTCCAATCTTTTTTGTTTTTTAACACCAATAAACTCCATCGAAGTTCCACTAATGTAAGAATGTTACAATAAGCGTATTTTTATCCAAAAATCCTAACTAAAATAATTTTTAAGTCCTAACTAAAATAATTGTTGACAATGAAAAATCAAGTTTTTTCAAATTTTTATGTTGAAATTGCTCCTAACAATATGCAATACAATATTGTAATATAAGAGAATTATAGGTATTTAACCCTTTTGATCCGGTTTTTGAATAGCTTAATAGTAGATACGTGTATCAGCTGGGCCGAAAGACTCTGTGTTGCTCTCATTATTTTAAACAAAACATGTATGTGTTAATACAATTGCCATGCAATTGTTTCACTGTTAATTATTACATTAAAATGTATTACTTAACAAGTATTTATTCCTCCTCCTATGTATATGCAATATGTTATTGAATTAAAAAAAATATTATAAAAGAATATTAATTTCATTATTTTATTAGACTAAGACTTAAATTACTTAAGTTCAGACAGAACTTGTCAAAGAACAATATGCTATTTTACAAATCAAGGAGTTGATCGACTGCATTCCTTTTGATAACAAACCCTTTCTTTTCTAACAAACTTTAAATTCTTAATTGAATTTCTTTATAATGAATTTTTCCATTAAATTTTTCTAATTATACAAGAATTAAGTGTTTTTGTTTTTCTTCACTTTTTTCAATATAATTTTCTTCGTATATAATATTGGTAAAATATATTTATTAAAAAAAAAGTAAAAATTTAAAAAAATTAATAAACTTACCTAGAACAAATTTATATCCTTCACCGTTATGATTCCTTATTTATTGCAATTTTGTTTTATATTGTTAGTAAAAAATAAGTAGTAAAAGAAAGAGAGAAAAAAACACAATTTTTGTTTTTGTTTTTTTTTTTTTTTTTTTTTATAAAAATAAGTAGAAAAATTAATGAAAAACTTTTTAATATTTTAGAAAAAAAAAAATCAGAAATAAAAATATTTGTTTTCAAATGAGTTCTCGGTATGAAAAATTTTCTTTAGAGGAAATTGAAGTACACACTAAATGAATTTTCTCATTTCATATATTTCTCTCTCTTTTCCCCCTTTCTTTATTTTTGTATATTTTCCTCATTCTTTCAATTTTATCTTTTAATATCCTTACATCTACATATATAACATATATTAAATTGCAATAATAAATAAAGAGAAATAGAAAAGCGAAAAACCCATAAAATATAAATAAGAAAAAAAAAAAAAATAATACTATGATAAAGGATAAAGGATTCTGATTATATTTTTAAATAAATCATATAAAAAGTAATAAAATATATTATACTATTCAAATATAAAGGGAAAAGAAAAAGAAGAAGGAAAAAAAACAAACAAAGAATTTGCAACATAAAGGATAATAGAAAGAAATAAATAAATGCATGTAATAAGGGGTGATTTTTTTTTTTTTGCTTTTCGATTTATACCGTCAATTTATGTGAAATGCACAAATTTTTGAATATACCAGAAATAAAATTCATTTTTAGAGATCCAATATAGATGTATTACAATAAGGAATAGCCGTCTGCGTTGGATCATTTAAAAAATTACTTAATATTTTTTTTAGAAATGAAATTTTAAACACTGAAATTTTGTACAACTCCAAAGCTATAGTGTTTCACAAAAATTAGAAAAATTGTGCTTAATTCATGCATTTGATTTTTAGACACGAAACAAGAGTTGACTTTGATTGATAATGAGATCATCTTGTTTATTAAATTTTCCGAAAAATTCAGATTACAGAATGTGGATTTCTATAATATTAAGATCCAGTACTAGATATATTTTACATGTGTTTAATTTTTGATATCTCAGGAGTGATGAAGAACCACGAATAAAGCTTACAAAATATTTTTATTAAAAGGAGTTCAATGATATATTAATTTTGCACTTTTAACTGGTTATTTGATACCTCTCATCATAACACCTCTTAATTATTTTCTGTATGAATAATTATATGAACACTGTTATTGATATTCTGGTTGAAATATTTGTTAAAAATGGGCCAAATTCGAGAAAATTTAAGAGAAAAATTTAAGAGAAAATTACAATGCACATCTGTAATTTTTCTCTTATATAAGTAAAATTTTTTTGAAATTAAAAATCAAATGCTTAAAAAATCACCTTAAACAAGTAAAAAATATAACAATAAAAATTAAAAATGAAATAAAAATAAATAAAAAAAAAAAAAAAATTAAAGGATAATGAAGTGTTGGAATTTTTCTTTTTTGTTTTGCTTTCTCAAACCAAACGAAGAGGTTTTAAAATACTTTTTTTTTTCAAGTTGAAAATGGATGCATTATTGAATTTTTAATGGTTATGGTAATAAATCATTTAAGAAAATTACTTTTTCTTCTTTGTTATGTACACGGAGTACGAATAATAAATAATAGGTTTTTTTTTGAAAATTTGATTGATTCGATTGCATATCAATTAAATTTAAAATTGTAAATGTGTATTGGTGTACTTGTTGTTTAATTATTGGTGTATTTAAATTAAAATACAATTGCATTTTAAAAAGTAATATGCCATTGGCGTAAATTTCATTCAAGTTTCAAATTGATTGAAATTCTTGGGTTTGTTTATAAAGAACTCTTAATAGCACAGTAATTTGGCACAATTTATGGAGGATCTCAATAGCACAGAAATTTGTATTTCAACAAAATTCAATGGCAATGAGTGTGAATTCTTTTAAATTTTCGCCCTGAATTCTATTCAATAAAAAATTTAAATTTTATAGCCACATACTAAATAATTGAATTTGACTATATTCAATATTAAAATTTTAATCATATTGAAATATTAAAGCAAAATTACTGGTTTTGCAGGTTTTAAAGGAAAATTACAGTCCTGTAATTGTCACGTTTTCATAAAATATTGTTTTTTTTTACAGAAATGTCATGTATTTTTAAATTTTGACAATAATTGCAATAAATATTATATGATAATAGAAAAATTCTAGGTTAAAATAAAATTTTCTAAATTTAATTTCCTATATTTTTCAAATATTTTTTGTAATAAATTTTAAAATTTAAATTGAGTATACATGTGTTTGTAATCGTCTATTTATATAAAAAAAATTTATAAGTAAAATAAGACAGTATATGTATATATGTATATAACTATTATAATATGCTTAAATAGACAATAATTAGTTTAATAAAATATTACTTGTATGTACAAAACTGTCTACAAACTCAACTTGAATTTGTGCTATGAAAGTTTTAATCATACGAAAACATGTTGTATACATATAGTATTTTTAGCTCGATTTATATTTGATTAAATTTGTGTATTGTAAATTGGGTTTTTGTGTGCACATTTGATATTCATTAAGAAAGTATGCACATAAATATAATATTAATGTGTTTAAATAGAAAATAATTAGCCTAACAAGTCAATACTCTTAGTAATACTCTTAGTAATATTCTGCATTACAACTTTCAATCATACAAGAACATGTTGTAAAGTACCTTTACATTGATTGATATTAAATATAAGTTGTGTGTTCTAATTTTATTTTGTTGTATGTATATATGTGTATGTGTGAACTATATGTACTCGTATCATTAATTTGAATTTATTTTGGAATTGTTGTTCAATGATATTAGACTCGGGTTTGATTACATATTTTTTCGATTTATTTGATATGCAATTAATTTTGTGTTAATGTGTAAAATGTTAATGATTATAATGAAATGTGTTAATTATTTAAAATTAAAATTAATATTTTTTTTAAAATTTTTAATAAAATTTTTTTATAATTACAATAAAAATCAATTTTAATGATAGGATCGGTTCTAGTAAATTTTATATATTTTTAAATTCATGAAACTACGTTTATAATTTAGATAAATAAAAATAAATTTTAAAAGTATATCGTTACAATTTGTTGAGAGCGTGTATAAAATTCTTTATTATTTAATGAAATTAAGTGAATTTGTGATATTATTAAAGTAGATAAGAAATTTACGGTTGTATTCTTTATGATCATATAACAGTTTTTACTGTAAAATCACTCTGTATTGAATTAAATGAACAAAATAATTAATATTTTTACAAGTATACATAATATTAATGTAAAACTTTTAATTTTTGAATTTTTAAATATTAATTTTAGTTTTTTGTATATCAAAATTTTTATATATACGTATGTAAATTAAATTTATAAAAAAAATATTTCTATTTAAAATTCATATTTCCAAATGTTAACAATAATTTTTCAAATGTATAAATGAAACGCAATAATTGTTGCTTGGTCAATAGTTAGTAGGGAAATTCTGTTATACGGAAGTAAAAACTAAACAATTAATGAAAACTAAAAATTAATGAAAAAAAAAATTTCTTTTCAACATAATCAATTAGTTCTTCTCATAGGCTAATATATGGGTTGATGTAATTAAGAATCTTACATGTATGAAGTGTTATATGTTTAGAAGACGAAACTAGGATGTTATACGCGTAGAAGACGGAACACCATTGAAAAAGAAACGAATGTATTTTTATCTTCCATTTTGTTGCATTACGAATATTTTGCATTAAAGCTTGATTAACTTTTAAATTGTAATTAAATTGTATAACAAATTTTCATTTTTGATCTAGGAATTTGTACAATTTCTTTCCAATTTCAAAAATAAATTTTTCTTTAAATGAGTCCAATTTACAGAACCGATCCTATAGTTTTAATTTTATTATTAAAATATTGTGCTTTAAATGGTTATATTTTTTTTTTTGTTATATTGAACTTAAAATAATATATACATTACGTAATTAGTGTTATACTAGGTGTATTAATACTATTTTAGTATTAACTCTACAACTACATTTTTAATTATTGTGTGTACAGTTTGGTTTTTTTAATTTCTAAATTTTACAATTTGAACAAAACTTACTTTGTTTCAAGAAATATATTCGGCAAGGATATACTTCGTTTTTTACCAAACTGATGTATATTACTGTCCAATAATTTAGTTTTTGGTCGTTCACCGGAAAACCTTTAGAAAAATAAAATTGTTTTTGTTTTGGTTTATGTTTTTCTGTTTTCAATTTTTTTTTTTTTTGTTAATTGTTAAATTTTTTATAATGTTTAGTTTTTTTTTTTTTTTCATCAAATTCTAAATAGCATTCCAACTATATACATGTATATGTATGTACATATATAGCCATTATAATGCATGTTTAATGTATGAATGTGTTTTAAATTAAAAAAAAAGGAGATGATATTTTTTTTATAACATTTTTTTTTTTTCATATTTATAATGGGATTATTGTGAATAAACTATTGTGATTTAATGTGAATATTATCTATGTTTAGTATAACTAAAGTTTTTCTATTAATTTACATATTATTATTATTTAGTATATACAGTCGAATGTCAGTTATAATGGACAAAGTGTATAAAAGAGATTTATAAGAAAGATTAAAAATATAACAATATTTTTGTTATTGAAATAATAAAGAATTATGTGTACTACTTTAGTAGCATGCACATTGAAAAATGTATATTTAATGAAAAAATTAGTAGTTTCCTAGAAAATTATAAAATAATTCGAAATGTTTAACAGTTCGATATTCAATGATACATACACTAATATCATATTTAAGTTAAAATATTCTATTTTTATATTCTATACTATAAAGTGAAACATTTATAATACATGTATTGTGTGTTAATGTATGATTCACTGTTTACATATTCCATGTATAATCAAAGAAAACATAAAATCTAAAGAAAAGCGCTACACTATTTTACAAATTAAATATTGATAATTAAAGAAACTGTTATACTGAAATTAATAATATAAAATTAATTATAGGTGATTTGCCAGACCAACCGTTCAATTTGATTTTGAATTGAATATAGAGCAGTTTCAATAAAGTAAGAAACATATTCTTTCAAAAGTTAAACAATATGTTATATTTCCTGTTAATTTGCTGCTTTTTATCATTTTATGTATACTAACCGCCTAAAAGTCGATAATGTTGATTAAAAGTTTAACCGCCTAAAAGTCAATAACGTAGATTAAAAGTTTTTCGGTTTAAATCAAATTGATTTGTCCCAACAATTTAACTATAACCCGTTGCTTTGTGTAAAATTATGACGTGTTATCTTACTGAAATTAATTATTTGGTTTTCGATTTGTTTTAAGATTTTCTTTTTGGCCTCAGACGCCAAAAATGCCTTAAATTCTAATTGCTACGCAAGTTTAAATTAACAATTCTAAGAATTTAATGTGATTGTAGAATCAAATGTTTTAATATTTCATTTAAAATTTTTTTTTTATATAAAACATAAAATTAATTGAAATATGCAATTTGTGGCCCTATATTCTCTTCTAAATTATTTCAAGAGGAAATTAAGAAAACTTTTAATCTATTATGGATTAAATCTTAAAAAAATATCCCTATAAGTATGCAATTTAAATGACTATCCAATCATTTAACATTTTATTTGAATTTGTGAGTGAAATTTAAAAATTCGACTGTATATCATTTCTAAATTATAATAATAAATTTTGTTTTTTTTTTTTATGAAATGAATAATAATATTTATATAATGTATATATATATGTATGAGAAAAATAAAAATAGAATAAAACATTTAGAGACAGAGAGAGAGAGAGAGAGACAGAAAGAAATGAACAGAAAAATAAAATAAAATCAAAATGCTAAAAGCTCTATTAAAAGACGAAATGCTATTTTTTTTATTTTCATATAAATTTTATGTTATTATGCAAGTATATATATATATGGGAGTGTAAGTAATTGCGAGTACGTGTGTGAATACTTATATAATGTGATGATATGTGTATATATATTAATATTAGAATGAAAGGATAACAAAAAAGAGAAAAGGATGAATATTTGAATGCTTTCTAAAAAAAAAAAAATTCAAAAAATAAAATTTTTTTTTATTTTTATTGTTTTTTTTTTTTATTTTTCTAGTCGATATTATTACCATTATTATTCAATCATTCAAATTTTTTTTTAGGATTATTTAATGGCAGTTTTATGTACATATGTACAAATATAAAATTTAATAAATGTCAATGTCAAATAATTGTTTTTATTATTTTTTTTGGTTTTCAATTATTATGAATTTTTATTTAAATTTTCATTTTCAAATTGAAATGAGGTTATGTTAATGTTTTCATTTAGAATTTTTCTTTTTTTCTATTAAACAATATTTATTTAATTTTAATATTTTTGGTTTTAGAAGAGAAATGAAATTCATGACAAATGTATGCAAATTATATAAGAAAATAAAAATAAAATTTAATGCAATTAAATTGAACTAAAAAAATACTTTTTTTTTTGAAATTTTACAAAATGGGGGAAAAAATTAATTTTATTGCTTTAATTGTTTTAATAGTTACTGATTTCCAAATTAATAACAAGTAATTTTTTCATAATATTAGATAGAATTGAAAATTTATTTTCTGTAATTATCAAAATTTTCAAATAATATTTTTAATAATTGCTTATTGGGTATAGAAATAATTTTGTTCTATTAATGTTTGTTGGGATCTAATGTATATGGTAGCGCAATGTTTTTACAAAATTTTCATTTTTCAAGGTGAGTATTCAATTATATTTTAATTTTAATTCAATTTTTGAATTTTTTTGCGCAATTTGATACAATTTTTTGAATACGCCCTTAAAGTTTGCCTTTGAAAATCATAAATTTTATACACAATTTTTAGTTTATTAAAATTATTCTGTTATACAAATATTAATTTAATTTTACATTACAGAAAATTATAAAATTTATTTTGAACTTGAAGATTTTCAATATTTCGAATGTTTAGTATTTTTGATAATTATTCCAAACTGATAAAATTAATAAGGTTTAATTGAATTCCGTTATTATTCTTTGTCATAATTTACCTCATCATTTGTGGTATCGTTCAAACTAAAATTGTTGGGGTTGATACACATTGAATTCGTAAAAAATTTTTTGATGCGCATTGAATAGATGCAAAAAATTCCAAATTTTGTTGTTTGGGTTTCGATTAACTTTTAATTAAATTTAAATTAATTAGATTTATATTTTGACTGTATAAAAAATTTTCTATGTACCACAGTCAGAGTTTTGATAATTATATTTTTATTTTTATGTACTAAAATATTTTCAAATATTTCTGGATTATGGTGCATATTTTAATAACGTTCATAACAAATTTCAGAGGAAAATTAGTTGGTACATTGAATGGAAAATTTAATGGTACAATTTTTATTGGAGATAAATTGTTGTGTTGGATTTATATTTCTCATAATGTTGAATTTGCATTATTTGATTAAGGGTAACGGGAGAGTATTACACGAGATTTAAGATTTGATAATAAGGATTAGGTTTGATAATAAGGAATACATTGCTTCCATATTTAATATTACACAAAATTTCAAATTAAAGAATTTTTTTTTTTTATTTAGATCTTATACTTTACCTGATAACCTTACTTTTTTTTGCTATTCATATACATACTTTTGTACTTTTAAAAATTTTACTTATCACCGTTATGTTAATGAACCTCTTAAATATAATTAAAATAAAATTAAAATTAATGATTCTTTTTATAAAAAGAACAAAATAAAAAAAAAAAATGTAGCATTTTTCAAACTTACTTTTATATGATTTTTTTTTTTTAAATGAATCAACTTAATCTGTTTTTGTTTTAGATGGATGCAATTAAGGATTCAACGCATATAAATTATATAGATGATAGGAGGATTAATAAAAAGCAGTTTTAATTTTTTTTCTTTTTTGTATATTCAAGTGCAATTCATCATCATGCATTATTCAAAGGGGACATAAGGTAATCTAAATTTTTATTTCTATTATACTATAAAAAAATTATTCTATTTACTAATTGCAAGCAATTCATATTATTGTTATCATTGTTATTGTGTTCTTTTCCATGATTCTATATTATATTATAAAAGCATATCCATATATATTTATTCAAAATATAAGCTGAAATGATGAATGAGCTCTACTCTTTACTTGCTGTATTTTATATTATATATAATCATTCCATAATTGCATTTAAAATACTATATATAACCATTAGCCTCAAGAAAAAAAATTCAAAAAAAAAAAAAAAAAAAGAAAAGATTCTCACCTCATAGATTTTCCACAATATCCAGAATATTCTAAACTTTTAGCACCACTTTCATATTCAATAGGATTATTACGATTATTTCCAATACCAGTTGTTGTAATACCACCACCAATATTAAAACCACTGCTTGTATTACAACCGCTTATTCCACTGCTACAACCAACGCCACTACTGCCACTATTATTAATTTTATTATTATAATTTGAATTATTTATTCCACTTGTATTATAAAAATGTTGTTGTTGTTGTGTTGGTATAGCTGTTGGTGATGATGTTATACTACTAATTGGTGTTGAATCACGTGTAACTGGCATTTCACGATCACCAAAAAATATTATTGTTGATGCTAATGTTGTTGGTGATAATTTATAATCAGTTTTAAAATATTTTGGTGAATTTCCAGTTGAATTACATTTTGGTTGTATTATATGATTATTATTGTTATAATTATTATTATTATTATTATTAATAATATTATTAGTATTATTATTAATACCACCAATATTATAATTAATTGATGGTTTTATTTTAATTGATCCTATTAAATTATTTTTTGGTGATAATTTCTTATTTTGTTGTTTTAGTTGTTGTGTTTGTTGATTTTCATCAATTATCATTGTTGTTGGCATATTTTTTTTATTTAATTTTGGACTAGGTTTAATTTTATTATTACCATTATTAATATTTTTATTAAGAACAATTGGTGATTTTTGTTGTTTTTGATTATTTATAATATCTTCAGTTATATGTAATGATATATTTGTATTAATACGATTTTTTAAATCATGATATATTTGTTTTTGTTTATTATTAAAATCACCAATACTATTATAATGTTCATTATTACTAGAATTATGTTGTTGTTGTTGATATTGTTGTATAATTGGTATTGATGATACTGATGATTTTTTTAAACGTGCATTCATTTTTTTATTAATATTCATATATAATTGTTCATCATCACTATTTATTTGTAAAAGATCATTAACTGATGATGATACATGAATCCGACGATTATTTCTATTATAATTAATATTATTATTATTAATATTGCTATTATTATTATTATTGTTATTATTTATATTATCATTATATAAATTATTTTTTCGTTGTGATAAATTTCGATGTAAATATTTATTGGATTTCGAACGTGTATGTTTAATATTTGGTATTTTTGAACGTAATTTTAAGCTACCACTGTTATTAATAGAGCCACAATTTGGATAAAATTCACATAAGGTTTTAATATTATTTGTATTGGTGGTGGTATTATTGGTGTTGTTGATATTGTTGCTAATGTTGTAACTGCAATTATAAATTTTTTTTTCACGTGGAAGAGTACAAAAGAATAGAAGAAAAACAAAAAATACGAATATTTATATAAAAATAAAAAAATACAATGAAAGAAATATATAAAAATTTTAAAAATAAAAAATTAGTGAAAAATGCCGGAAAAAAAAAAAAAAAAACAAAAATAATATGAAATTTAAATTTTTTTTTTTCTTATCTTGCATGAACAATTTTTCATTTTTCAACTACAAAATGTTCCAAATCGAATGATAACTTCTTATCATACAAAAATTTAATGATGATCGAACAAGTTCTAAGGCAAACAAAAATTCACTTTTCTGCTAAAAATTTTCGTTCCAATGATATTAATGATTTTACTTTAAAAACATTTTCATTCATATTTTCCAAAATGTAAGTACATAAATGCAAGTATATTTACATCGTTTCGAATTAACGAACAAAATTTGTCGGACTATCATATTTTTAAAAATATTATTGAGCTGATAGATCTCGAAGCTAGTGTTTTTTTCTGTATTACCATTAAATTTAATACAAAAATATAATTGAAAACAGTAGATTTTTTCAAAAATGAGATGCCTGTTTTAGGTCAAAGATCATATGAAATACGAAAAAAAAAATAAGAGTATTTTAAATATGAATCGAACATGTTTTAAGTATGAATCAAACCTGTTTTAAGAATAAATCGAACATGTTTTAAGAATAAATCGAATATGTTTTAAGTATAAATTGAATATGTAAAGTAAAAATTAAAATATTATAGAAGATCAAAAAAAATTTAACATTAATATTTCGTCGTTCAGGTTTTCATTTATCAAATATTGTTCATGGATGTATTGAATGTTTGATGTATAAACATTCATAGAATTTGTTTGATGGCAAAAATTAGGAAACTATTTTATAATAACCATATTAATAATATTAATCAGAATTGAATCAATCAAAATATCATCGATTAGTTTTGTGTCCAGTATAAATAATGTCGCGTGCAGTAATCGGAAAACTATGCAATCATACAAAAAATAAATATGAATGAACAATGTTCAATACTCAGACCATTCGATTTGGAACATGTTTGAATGTTTTAACATGTTTGAATATAGTCGTTTGTGCAAAACTAAATTAAAAATGAGTGGAAAAAAACTTGAAATTAAAGCAAATTCTAAACAACCATTTTGTTTTTTTTTTTTATTTTTTCTTGTATTTTTTTTTCATCTTTTTTAATTTGAGTAACTCTATTTTTATTTAAAATTTACTTATAAATCTTTTATTGTTATTCAATTTTTTCTTAATTTTTTTTTGCTATTTTTTGTTTTTTTTTTTAAATATTTTTAATTATTTTTAATATTTTGAATATTTTTTTTTTATTTTTTCAGTTTTGATTTGGATATTTTTATTGCTCTTATTTATTATTTCTTGTTTTTCTTTTGCTTCTTTATTTTTTTTTGCTGCTAAATGTTAGCTTTGAATTATTTCTGACCATTATTGTTTTTTTTTTTTTAATTTTTTTTTTGTTTTGATAATAATAGTAAACAATTAATTTTTTTTAACTAACAACTTTAAAAACTATAAAAATTGTTTTTTTTTTTTTTTTTTTTTTTTTGGGGGTGAAACTATTGCATGGTTCCCATAACAAATGAAAGGAGTAAAAATTTTTTTGCGTGCTATAGTGAATTTGTATATGTATATATACAATACGTAATTAATTAAAAGCTGCAAAAGGTTTGGTTTTTTTTTCTGTGTTTAATGATGATTCTAATAAATGAATACAATATGTAGAATTAATGTATGTATGTGATATAATATAAGTGATTGATGCATATTCCTACATGACAAGTAGGTTTAGACATGCATTCAATATAGTATTTGAAAATGTGTAATAAAATTATAACTATATATAGTGCTTCTGTGACAATTTTTCGGGTAACTGCTCTAATAATATTGCAAAAATATTATTAATAGAAATCGTAGAATATTGAGAAAAAATCATTGAGTTCTTGTTATATTGAAATATTTCTTTTGATTTTAGTATGATTTCATGGGACGATTGGCATTTTTTAATATTACACTCAACTCATTGACTGGTTCGAATTCAAAACAACTGATTGACACAGCTTTAAATTTTCTGTACAAGCATTATATTAATTTGAGGAATTTTTCATTTTTATATTGCTATTTACTAATTACTAAGAATAATATTTGGTAATAAAATCTAAAAATTTACATTTAAAATTCTCATTGAACAGCTGAGCGTTTATAAAATAGAGAGATAAAAGAAAAATTACCATATTGAATTAAATGCTTCTCTCACACTCTTTTGCTCTTATACAAAATCTGACTGTTCCAAAATAGTTTTTTCCTTATTTTACTTTTCTTTTCGAGTGTTAAATGCCATGTTGAGTTGAGATTATCTTTTATGTAATTTACTTTTACAAATAATTATTTCGCTGTGGTGGGTTACAAGCGCAAACTGTTTAAGTTGAGTTCTCAATTTTTATTTAAATTCAGATTATTACTAGATTAATATGTGTATATAACATCCTGACCAAAACATGTATATTACAGCTAAATTTTAAGTTTGAATTTAGTTGAAACTTGAAAAGAATTTTTTTGAAAAAAAGTTTTCTTAAAACCACAGATTTGAATAAAGATTATAGTTATTAGAGCAGTGTAGTAATTGGCACAGGTTCGAGTTTTTAGTAATTCATTTTGTTTCTGAAATTATTGTAAACTTGTTTCTTATTCATTAATAGTTTAAATATTATTTAATTTCAGTTTTATAATCGTTTCAGTGCTGTACCTTTTAAATAAATTTCTTTGTACTACGCTATGAACGAAATTTTTTTTTAAGAATCAATTTCTCGCCTTAAATTGTTTAATTTTTCCAAAAAAAAAAAAAAAAATCCTGACTTATGTAAGAAAGGTATAACGATAATAATTTAGGAATTCATTGTTTGTTTAATCTCAAAACTTTAAAGTGTAATACTAATTAAAGTTTTTGTATAATTAAAATTTACTATTAATAGGTTTGTTGTGTCTTAATCAGCAAAAAACTAGCTAACGCAAGCCTCAATTTCCTCTTCTAGCAAATTCTTAACGTAGATATGGTTAAAAAATGTTAATGCTTTCAGTGAGCTTACACAAAATATTTAAAAGCCAAAGCACTGGTTTGTTTCTGTTGAAATTTTATTAAATGTAACACACATTATTGTATCCTGAGCACATTTATTCAAAATATTTGTTTTTTTTTTGTTTTAAATTTCTAATCAAATCCTATATATGAAAAAAATTTAGTGTCCTTTTTTGGACTATAAGTATTTAACTATAATATGTATGTGGTTTTCTCCTCTAAATTGGTTAATATTTTATTTTGTTATTTTTTGGGTTGAACAAAAATAAATCCCTATGTACTATTTTCTTTTACTTATTTACTTATTTATTGGGTAATTTTCTTCTTATTATTGCATGTCATTGAAAAGTATTTTTTTAAGGAATTTTCTTTCTCATTTTATTGATTTTTTTAAATAATTATTTTGTATACTAGTATAACTTTTTTCTATTTTTAACTATTTTTTTTTTTCTGAATATTTGCTTTTGAGTTGGGAATGAAATATTTTTTTTTTTTTCAAATTTTTATAATAATTTAAATTTTTATCGATACTATCTATATAATTATGATATATATATGTATATATATATATGATATAATTAATTATTATAGTAGCTAGTAGTATCAATACCTTCCTCTTGATGTTAAAGCTGTCGTATTACCAGATAATCCACTACTACCGCTTATTAGATTTCCACCAGCGCTATTACTACGATCTTGACCACTTAAACGTTGTGATTGTTGTCTATATATAATACTGCCATATTCAGAACGTAAACGATCTTCTGTTGAATCTGGTGTTATACTATCACGTGATGCATGTAAACGATCTATTGAATATAGTGAATCACTTGGTGAATGATTTAAACGTTTTGATGTTTTTGTTAAATTCATTCCATGATCATAAATTCGATCACTTGTAAAATTTAATTCACTATTACCACCAGCATTAATTGTTTCACGATTAATCATTGATTGTGGTATATCATAATCTGGGCCACCAACAATATTACTACCACTAACACGTCCACTAAAATCCATAATAGGTGATCGATCTAATGTTCGCCTTAACATATCATATGTCATTTCATGATCACACAATCTAGTACCATAATTTTGTGGACTTGTTTGTTGATGTAATTGTTGTTGACTACCGCTACCACCACTACCACCACCACCACCGGTACCACCGAGACCACCGCCACCACAACTGCTGCTACTACCACTGCCACCAGCACTACGATTACCACTTTTTAATAAATTTCCTAAAACACCGGTGCTTCCGCCACCAGATATTGTTTCACTTGTTAAATATGATTTAACTAGATTATTACTTTGTTCCCTGTAATCTTCATCAAATGAACGGCTTTTATCAAAATCTAAACGTCCACCAGTAATATGCTGATTAATGCTGTTAACACTACTACTAACAATAACACCGCCACTATTTCCAACACTTCCAACATTATAATCAAAATCAAATGATCGACTTTTATCAATATTATCATTTGGATTACGAATTGTTGCTGAATTTGTTCGACTATTAATACTAATGATTGTTGCGTTTGTATTCATTGGATCTGATATTATTTGGCTTGGTCTAATAGTTGGCGGGAAATTTGCGTTACGAATTTGCTGTGATGGTCGTATTATATTAATTGACTGATGATTGCCATTACGTTGAATTTGACGATTTGGTGAACGTTCTGTCAATTGCAGTGACCTAAAAAAATTTAAAAAAGGAGTATTGAGAAATAAGAATCAAGGTGAGCAATTAGTTTTTTAAGTTTAAGTAATAAAGAATGGAAGTTGTATTTTTTTATTTAGTTTTCCTACCTAGATCGTCTAATTCGATATTCTTCTGGCGCTTTTGCATTTCGTATTGTTGAACGACGGTGTGTTGGAAGCAATTCATTATGATCACCACCGCTATAACTAGAACTGGTTGATGAGCTTCGTGATGCACTCAAAGATTTGTCATCATATTTTCCCTTACGCTCTAAAGTATTGCTTCTAGAACTAGAATTTTGTCTTGAGCTTAGAGATGCTTGAGATCCTTTCTTTCGTCGTTCCTCTGGTGTTAAAGAACGATTTTCTGGTGTTAAGGATCTCTGTTTTCGTAGACTACATTGTGATCCTTGCGAATCATATTTGTCTGGTGTTAAAGAACGTTGCTTTTGTTGTCTAAAATTTGACTGAGATTGATAGGCTGCTGTTAAAAATTCTGATGAATTGTCTTCTTCATTATCAAGCTCATCATTAGAAAGATCTAAAGTTTACAGGAAAAAGTTAAAATGAATAAAAGTGTTTAATACAATTTATAAAATAACAAACCTGATCTAGCTCCACTATCACAGGAATTTAATCTAGCATTAATATTTTGATCAAAGCTACGAAATCTTGACACAGGCATTGTGGCAGTCTGATTGTAACGTGTAAATTGTGCGCGTCTTGATCTTCCATTACGATCAAAGCTATAAGTTTTTGGTTTTTCTATTTTTCTAGGTATAATATTACTACTGTTGTATGGCGGTAATTCTTTGGTATGTGATACAACTAAAGTTTTTGATTGTGCTATTGGATTTATATAACCAATTTGTTGATATTTTGGGGAATTATCACGACTTTGTTGATTGCTTATATTTGACTGAGAACTTTCTTTTTTGGTTAAATAATTAGGTGAATTACCAGTTAATGTACTAAAATTAGGTGAACGGTCCCTATGAATTGCACCAATAATGCCTGAAGGTTTTGTATCCGATAAATTACTATCAAAACTTTTTGAAAAAACTTCTGCGTAATCCGATGTTGGTTTTCTTGTTTCATACTCAAAACTTCTTGAAAATACCATACCTTTACTACCACTTGTGCTATTACCATTTGTTCTTAATGGCTGATGATGAACAGTTATTTGTGATGGATGATAAATTTGCTTAGATAAACTAGAATTAATTTGTGCTTTAATTTGATTTTGTTTCTCATTACGATATTTTGATTTTGTATCCTGAAAAGCAGGCGGTGGTGATAGTATTGGTGTAACAGGTGGTGGCGATTCTGTTTCCATAAATGTTTTAACTGGAAGAAAACCTGGACGTTCATTTAATATCGTAGCTAATTGTGAATCAACAATTTTACAACCTGATTTTAAATATCCGGTACGTTGAAGTTGTGTATTATTACGTCTTGCTTCACTTCTTGATATTAATTCTTCAATTTTACTCCCGGCAATTTTTGGTACTGAATAAACAGGTTGTTTATCTCGTGTTGCATTATCAATTTGTATAACACGAACAGTATTTTTAAAATGTGGTATTGTATTTGAGGAACCAATACCATTTTGATGACTATAATAATTTTCTTCCTCTAAACGTTTCGAATTAACTTGTACCCAACCGGATTTATTTAAATAGATTTCATCACTAACAACACTACCAATAATATTAGATTTTTTTGGATTTGTTGTTAAATGATTTGGATTCGTTGTCGTATAACATTTTTCACCAAATAGATAAGTTGGTTTCGAGGAATTTGCTGTAGCTGATGAATGCCTCATATGTCCCATATTGTGAAAGTGCATTTTTCGTGCTTCTAATTTCTCATTGAAATTTCTTGCTGATATTTCTAAACTTTCACGTCTTTTAGCTATAAATTGAGCTTTGGGATCTAATAGATTTTCAAATGAACTATGCCTTGAACTATGTTGTATTTGTTGCTGTTGTGGTTGACCTTTTGTTGATTGTGAATGTGTAAAATTTGCGTCTCTATAACTTCTTGATTTACTACGTCGTTTCTTTGGTGGTAATGCTGGTAATGGTAAATCAGAAATATCAATTTTATCTGTTGATGAGAAATCATTAGAACTTTTTGCTGTTGATGTTTTTGTTAAATGACTTTCATCAGTTGATAATTCACTTGTATCTAATGTTCCAAAATCACCGGTTGTTGATTTTAAATCTTTTGGATGTGAATTAACTGATTCTTGGCTTTGTTGATCTCTGCAATTACAAAAAAATTTTTTGAAATATAAAAATTTGGTATAGAGGTTTTTCTACGAATTACTATGCGTAACTCAAAATTTCATATTTTTATTAAAATATTTTTCGTTTTATAGGAATTTTCTTTTGAGTTTCTTCAATTAAGGAAAAAAGAAATTCTTTATTTAATCATTAAATATTATTAAGAATATCAATACTTCTCAAATTATTTCAAAGCCAGCTATAAAAAGTAAAAAAATTTGAATGGTAAGCATATGTGGGTGTGAGTTAAATACCACACATATTTCTCTTTTGTTCTGTCATTTTAATTTCCAAATTAAATTTAATTCAATTTTAATTTCAAGGATAACATAATAAGATAATATAAGAATTTGATGTTATACACATAAACATAATAATCCAAGGATGCTTTTTTAGGAATTATTATGAAATTTCTTTCTACAGAAAATAATCCTTATTTCATATCACATGTACTTAATAATAATGCTTTAGTCAGAAATGTAAGATGAAAAGTGGTAATGAAATGTGGTTACGCGAAAAATAGGCTGGTATCCGATTAACTCTGTGCTAGTCGGTAAGATTTTATGATAATATTTGTGATTTAAGTTATTTAAAATATAGAATGATAAAAAAGCACAAATAATTACCGGCAGAAAATTAAAAAAGAAACAGGGATCAATAGGCTATCAGGATAATTGTATTTTATTTTTCTTAAAGTACATACGGCTCAGATCGTCAGAATACTAATTTGAGTTTTTCACTATGTTTAATTTTCCAAAATGTACCTTATCTTGCTGTCACGAATCGTGTCGTGTGTACGCGAAATTAAAATTTTTGTAATTTTAGATCCAGAATCACAATTCAATTATAAATTAACACGTAAAAAGACTTGCGGAGGAGGACAAACTTGTTTATATTTGCAAATGTTCTTTAAACACCTGTAAAGTTTCACTTACACTGTACACTAAAATTATTTATTTATTCTTGTTTATTTTAAAAATATAGCAAAATATTGAGTCAACACAATTATCAAGTCCACATAACGCAGTTTACTATACATCATTTAATGTTCAAAACTTATTCTTAAAAGTCTATTGTCTATTTAATTCGTAGAAGTCTAGAGGAAAAATTTACATATTATAATTGTTGCCAAATAGAAGAACAAACACAAAAAATATTTAAATTTCTCGACGTATACCATTTTATAAATTTGTTTACTTTTATAATTTGCAAATTTAAAAATTTCCTATACAAACAATTTAAAAGTTCTTATATTAAAATATTCCATAATCTTATATTTGTATACCAACACACACACATTCTTGTATAACAAAATTATTTTTACAATTTTCTGTTTTTTTACAATTTTTTGCAAAAATTGAATTGGAAAATTTTAATAACGTCGGAGTAAAACGTTTTTCCACTTTTTCATTCTCTTTACTTTTTAATTTTTCAAAGAATTCGGATTTGTGGTGATAATGCTCCCCCGCTAATTTCTTTTTCATTTCCATTTTGTTTTTTTTTTTTTTTTTTTTGGCTTGACTTACATTTTTCACAAATCTGAAATTTCTTTGAAATGAAAATAGGATTAAAATTGATATCGGATTTTTGTTTCTATAACAACAACCATTTTCTATGGGGAATCTGTTTAAAAGTATATTTTTGGGAGAAAATGTATTAGATTTTGTAATTTAAATAAAATTGAATTGAATTGAATTGAATTGTATTAGTGAGAACGCGAAGATGCAGAACAATATTTGGTCAATTGAATGAATATCTGGAATATTTGGTTTGGGAATTATGTGGCAATTTCATTTTTATTGTTGTTATTATAGGGTATGGCTTGCATTTTCGATTGAATTACTTTTGAAGGTACGGTGGTTACATTGGTACGATGATATGATTATAGGGTTTAGATAGAATTATTCCATTTAAAGAAAAAAAAATATGGATCTTATGATATATTGATCAAAAAGGGTTGAATTCAAGGCACTCAATGTCCTAAATTACAATTTTTTTTTAAAACTTCAGCACACTGAAATTTCATCGAATTTTACATACAAATTATTAATCGATATTAGAATTTTGCCGTCTGGGATCATATGGGACTTCGAGAGCAAATCGATATCAGAGCTCAGGGCGGTTTTGAAAATTTGAAAATTTTTAATGATAAATAAAGCTATTAACAGTTAGCATTGAATTTAATTAAACAGAGAGCTTTTTTTAACATTTCATAAAGAACATCTCATATACCATTTTCGAATTTACTGAAATTTTCTCCTGTAGTAGACTATAAATTAATTTTAAAACTTTATTCATTTTTTTTTTTCATAAGTATTAAATTGAATCGTTATTATTATGTAAGAATGACAAAATTTAAATAGAAAAATTAAAATTGATTTTCACCTGCGTATACCTATGACATTGGAGTATTAAAATGGATTTTTCATTTTGTCAGAAAATTAAAACCCTTTTGTTAAAAGAGCAATTTTTTTTTTTTTGAAAAATTAATTGTTGCTGTAACAATAAAATCCGCGTAAATTAATTAATTTAAAGAATTCAGTACAAAAAAAATATATCATCAATCATAAAAATTGTTATACGAAGAAAAAAAAATTTTGTGTTATGAGATAAGATCAAATGAAGGTGTGTTTTTAAGTCGATTATGGAAAAATTGAAAATATTATTAAAAATAAAAATTTTAAAATCAGAAATTTTATTAATATTCAATTTAATTCTCTTAAATTTAATTAATTCTTTCTTGTATTACTGAAATAAATTATAATTGTAGATGAAGTTTATGAATGCAGTTAAGATCCAATTAAAGTATGGGTTGAATTCATCTACTTATAGTGTATATGGGTAAAATTCCGAAACTTTATTTAATGTGATAGCCATTTTTAAACATGAATCGTTAATTTACATTTGGATGTTACCGCACAAGTAATAATACCATGCTAATATAATCCCTTAGATTTTCGATTAAGTTGCTTCTGAAGCTGAAACTGTTAACATTATTTCTCTAGATATAGGACATTGTTATTCCTTTATTTTTGCTTACATAATTAGTTTAGTTTTTTACTGAATCCATTTGCTTTCACAATTGGCGGTCTTTGAACCCAATATACTTCATAATGACAGGACTGCATAAGCTGGGGAAATCGGACTCTCTCTTCTACAGATTTGGTGGGGGTGGTGACGAAATCGCCGCCGAGCGTTTGGGAACTGCTGTCCAATTTCCTTCGGAGTATCTCGAGTTTTATATTGGTAACAGGGATATTGTAAGAGGAGGCTACAATAAGTTGCGAAAGACTGCGGTGGCGCGGAGGATATATCCTGTTGTCCCGCTGGGTTTATTATATCCTGTACTCAACATTCTGTACTATAACTATCAATTATTTTTTATAACCTGTATCTTCGTGAAAGGTATATTAACTTTGGTATAAAGTTTGTATACGCTTGAAGAGGTCTGTTTGCGGTATGAATGTCTATATATATATTCTTGCTCAACATAAAAATCTGTGTTGATTTAGTCATGTTTGTCCATCCGTTCGTCTGATCGCACAATATCTTATCAAATACGAATAATGTCATCGACAACAAATTTTCGCAAGTTGTTTCTTTTAGACCAAGGAGGGGTGCTATTGTAGTTGGACCAATTCAAATAACGGGTTCGGGGAGCTACCATACAATTTCAGAAGTTAATTAATAAATATTTAGAAAATATATTAGGAAATACAATAAAGTATGTTCAATTATTAGTCAAACATATCCGTGATGTTTTTATTTGACAGGTTCAAGTAATTGTCATACAACAATGAAACAAGCTTCAAAAACAAATTTTTAAACCGTTTTATACCGACTGTAACGTTTTTATTTGTTTGTAAAAATTTTTTTTTTCCGACTTTATTTCCTTAGACCATATGGTATGGCATCCCAATTTATATATAACGAAACTAGCTTCTGTTCATGAAGTAGAAACAAACGTTTCTCTTTTAATAATTAATAATTAATTTTATTTTTAATTAAATAGAGTATAGAGTTATGCAACAAGTTACAAAGTCTTTAACAAAAATAATTGACAAATTTGAAAATAAAGCAAAATTTCAGAAATTCTTTAATACTTGAAAATTTTTTAAATATTTCACATACAGAATATTTCAACAAAGACTTGAAAATATTTGTTATTTTCGCCATCAAGAATATGCTTAATAAATTTTCTTTTAATTACAAAGTTAAAACCACATTGCATTTTTCTAAATTTTCATAAATTTCTTTAACCAATTCACTATTATACAGGAATTTTGAAATTTCTCAAAATTTTAACAAATCTTTAAAAGTCGCCTTTTAAGAATTTTCACAAGTGTATATAATTTGAGTTTAACAAGAAAATGAATTTAAAAAAAAAGTATTAAAAAATTTGAAAATATTTTTAATATCTTAACTATTAAAAATACTTTAATAAAGTATTTTTCTCCCTTTTCTCTCTCTCTCACTCACCCTCTTATTCTGTTTTGATATAAAAGTATCAGAGAATCAAAGGATCAAAAATGTCACTGTTTGCGATATGAATTGCCTCTTACTTTACTCGTCTGTATACCATAAATTAAATTCAATTTAAGACACACGCACATACAGTCTTTCACAGAAAAACAAAAACCAAAACAAAAAACACAGAGAAAAAAAGTTATTTTATTTTTAAGCAATTTTCATTTTTGCATCAGTTATGAACAAAAACTATGTTTTAATAAAAAAAAAAAAAAAACACTCATAATAACTCTTTTTTGATGATTGAAATTTTAAACTTTTAATTGAAAAATGTTTTAAGTTTTCTCTTTATTTTTTTTTTTTAGTTTTTTAATCGAATTACAAGAAAAATATGAAAAAAAATGGAAAAACTTGAAAAAAAATTTTTTTTTTGTTTTTTTTTTTTTTTTTTTCAAAGTATTTTTATTATTAATAATTTTGTTTCTTTTTTGCCTTCTTGTTTATTGTTTTTC